TGTGTGTGTGTGTGTGTGTATGTATGTATGCACACATCCACCTATATGTATAATTTAACATGTTTAAGATAGGATGGGGTGGTATGGATTGGATAGATTTGGCTCAGGATTGGGACCAGTGGAAAGCTCTTGTGAACAGGGTAATAAACCTTCGGGTTCCATAAAATGCTGGGATATTCTTGAGTAGCTGCAGAATTGGCGGCTCCTCCAGAACGGCTCGGCTCCACGAGTAAGTAAGATTTAAACAACACAATTAATTTGATGCTGAAACAAGTTACCTTTCTTTTAACTTTAAAACGTTTTTTTATTTTTTTATTGAAACTGTTAAGTCTTATGAGAATATTATACAGTTTAGTCCAGGGAGGAGTTATTCTTGGAAAGATAAGTCACTTTGCTGGTGAAGAGAAACCTCCTCCCTTTTGTATCAAGTAAAATATTATCGTATTTATATTTGTCAATGGCACCCATCTTCTGTTTTATTAAATCCAGGCCATGCCCTTATATTCCATTTCAGATGAATTTTAATTTTATCATTCCAAAAAGCTAAACCCTGCAGTAGACGCTTGACTTCAAGCTTACCCACAAAAGAGAATAAAGCGTTTCATCTATTACCCTTCATTTTTTACAGTGTAGGTAATGAAAAGTTCAGTCCACTGTGTCATACGAGTCTACAACACTTCATTCATTCATTTTTTCACTGTTATCATATTTCGAAAGAGTAGACTTCATGAACTTTATCACTCTCATCTTCACTTCATTCCAGTGAATTGAAACTTAAATGTATGTGCTTTTGAGACTGTAGGAATTTAAGTTGATGGAACTTCATTCAGCTCTGCGTGTCACATGACCAATACTCCCAAACACCAAAACATCAGTTCAGGATATCACAAATGGGACCATCAACAAAACATCTATGAATGTAAACAAAGATGATTCAATACTAATGCATCATCATTCGTTTATTGTGGAAAGATGTTCCCCTACATGTTTCAAACTTCAAGAGGTCATCATAAATAATGCTGCAGAATTGTTTACACATTCTCAATCAGTTTCATTAACTATGCATTACTACACTTCAACAACTGAAGCAAACAATATAACTGTGGGAGATCATGTCATATCTGTTTACTCTTAACCAGACAGGGGTTTGTATGGATCTGCAATCAGTAGTAAACAAATGCGGATATGCACTGACCTTTTGTAGTGTGGGGTGCAATTGATTTCCCTAGTCAGTTGGAAATGTTAGCACCTGCAATAACTCATAGCACTCTACAAACACACAGCATGCAACAGACAGAAAACTGTGTCATGAGCAGAAAGCTACAACTCACGTGCTGGTCCTTTAGTTCAAACCCACCTCTACTGCTCTATGATGTAATACACCCATCACTACGTGCCACTCGATGTGTCTCCAGATGGCTCTGATGAGCAAACAACTTATTACACACCACACAGCTCTATGCCAGCTCACCACTATGTATGCGCAGATGCTTCCTCAGACTACTCCTATCACTGTATGATTTATTACACACATCACAGGAAAATGGCCGCTCACCACTATGTAGCCGTTGATGAACTTTCAGATTACCTCGCTGACTGAATGACTTATTACACATGTTACAGCAAAACGGCCGCTCACCACTGTGTAGCTGTTGATGTGTCTTCAGATGGCTCCGCCGACTGAATGACTTATTACACACGTTACAGCAGAATGGCCGCTCTCCACTATGTATGTGCAGGTGCCTCCTCAGTTGACTCCGATTACTCAATGATTTATTACACACATCGCAGCAAAATGGCCGCTCACCACTATGTAGCCGTTGATGTACTTTCAGATTACCCTGCTGACTGAATGACTTATTACACACGTTACAGCAAAACGGCCGCTCACCACTGTGTAGTTGTTGATGTGTCTTCAGAATGCTCTGCTGACTGAATGACTTATTACACACATCACAGCAAAATGGCCGCTCACCACTATGTAGCCGTTGATGTACTTTCAGATTACCCTGCTGAATGAATGACTTATTACACAAGTTACAGCAAAATGGCCGCTCACCACTGTGTATGCGCAGATGCTTCCTCAGACTACTCCTATCACTGTATGATTTATTACACACATCACAGCTAAATGGCTGCTCAACACTATGTAGCCGTTGATGTACTTTCAGATTACACCGCTGATTGAATGACTTTTTACACACGTTACAGCAAAATGGCCGCTCACCACTATGTAGCCGTTGATGTACTTTCAGATTACACCGCTGATTGAATGACTTTTTACACACGTTACAGCAAAATGGCCGCTCACCACTGTGCAGCTGTTGATGTCTCTTCAGATTACCCAGGCGACTGAATGACTTATTACACACATCACAGCTAAATGGCCGCTCACCACTATGTAGCCGTTGATGTACTTTCAGATTACACCGCTGATTGAATGACTTATTGCACACATCGCAGCAAAACGGCCGCTCACCACTATGTAAGAACAGATGCTTCCTCAGACTACTCCTATCACTGTATGATTTATTACACATATCACAGCAAAATGGCCTCTCCCCACTGTGTATGCGTTCATGTCTCTTCAGGTGGTTGCGAGAATGGAATGACTTACTGCACACATCACAGCAAAATGGTCTCTCCCTACTATGTATGTGTTGATGTGTGTTGCACTGATGAGCCCTCGGATTACACTGTTGAGTGAATGATTTATCACACTCATGACAGGAATATCGCCGCTCCGCACTCCATACAGGTTGAAGTTCTTTAACAGTACTCTGCAAAACAAGCGGAAATTACATGAAAAACCATCCCATGAAGAGAAATCATTTTGAAACTCATGACCACAGAGAGGTTAAAGGGGTAGGAGTAGGAGGGCATGGAGGGGGGAAAAGAGACAGAGAGAGCAGGGGTGTGTGCATTCGTGGGTGTCTATTAGCATGTATGGGTGACTGAGTGAATAAAAGTCAAGCTACACTACTACTGTATAATACATTACAGAATTAAAAGGTATTATGCATTTGTCATCATCATGGCTCTAGATCACTTTGTTGGACTGTGGCTACTTCTTAATTTTCTTGAGCCTAATCACAGTCGGTAGGCCTCCTTGGACAGGGGATCAGCCAATAGCAAGGCCACTACCTACACAGGACAAACACAAATACGAATCTCTATAATGGTCTGGATAGCATATCAAAATGAAACAATAATAAATGCTAAATTTGATCTGTTTCATTTTGGTCGGTCACACTAACAAATTACAAAGACAAAACAACTCCGTCCAGCGACTACTGAAGTTTTTAAAAACAACACAGCATGCCACGAACAAACACAGGATGATTACTAGAATCTCCTCAATATAGACAGGCGGCACAAGTTCAGCCCCCCTCAAGAAAGATGATAGGAGAAGGGACATGAACCTACATGGTTTATAAATTTTAACTTAAATAATGTGATGCCCCAAATTTGAGATTAGAAAGAGGATGGTATTACCCAAAAGCTAGAGACTTGCGAAAAGAGTTTCGCAGTTATTGCCGTAAATTGTAAACACCGGGACTGGCAAGTAGGTTAAGAATGTGAAGACTCAGCAAGTCTCTGTGTATTCACAAAGCAAGACACTTGCCTCACTCAGGCACTAGGGTAATCGTGATAGACTGCTTACAGAGCAAGGAGATGCCCACAACCACCCATGAGAGCCAATGAGGAGGTTATTATGAGGATTGAGGACACTGAGGGGGGAGTCACCCACCCTCTTTCGTCAAGGCTGAATCAGCAGAAATAAACCCTTAAATTAGGGAATTTCGGGGGACTTAGATCACGTTCTATCACAGAATATTCAGTTGTCAGCCGAAGGCGCTCTTCAACATGGGTCTGATGAGCGCTGGACGTCAGCCGGCATCTTGTACTACAGGTGGGTTTGTTTACGCATATTAGCCATGCCGAGTGATAATATTGTTGTTTCATAGTATTGGTGATACAGTGTGTTGAGCTATTGAATGTGCAAGTTCCAGTGTACCCAGTGAGCCCTGAGGGTAGGATACCAGCATTATGTAAAAGCATAGGATAGTAGTCAGGCAATTAGTGATTTATAGTATATATATATCAAGGTTAGGGTTAGTGTGTTGTAGTAAAGATAGTAGGCGGGATTCAATACGTATAACCAAGGATAGAGTAGGTCAAGAGGTATAGATAGTGTACTTATATATGTCGAGAGTAAGAAAGGTGCAGGGAGAAGAATATGTTAACGAGGAGGGCTTGCAGGTCCTCATAAGATGCGTTAAAGAGAGAGAGAGAGAGGCTCGAGGCCTCCATCCCCGAAAGGGAGGTTCTAGCGTAGATGCTAGTCAATTCCGTATGTAGACCTGACTGAAGGTCAGTCTTTGTAATATGTAAATAATGTAAACTGTGTATATATATATAATAATGTAAATAGACAGCTAGAATAGATAGGATAGGATGTACCGGGAGTGTAATTCATATTTATAATCCACCTCCCACATCCGATCCCGAGTAATCCTGACGAGCGAGGGCCAAACTGACACAGGAGCAGTGGCAGCCGAAGACGAAGATAAGAATAGACAGGGATAGGCTCCTGCCACACAGGCAGAGTATGGTAGCCTCGACAGCAACGCCC